TGTGTTTCCCGCAGCGAGACGCTACAATACTGATTGTGGGCTTATCATGTTGATTCGGCCACAACAGAAAAAAGAAAAACAAACTCTCGCTCTCTCCAGAGGGGCAGGTCAGCCAAAAAGGCCAAACGGGGCCGTTGCCCGCGCAACATTAGCCCGTACCTGTGCACGTCCCTGCATGACACTAACAGTGATTGAGGTTTGCTACACTTTTTTAGACACTACTTTTTTCTGTGGATTGGTATGACTGCACATGGTCACTTGATCAGAGCGTCCTTAGCAGCGATCAAAAAAGAGCAGACCGCTGAATGGCCAAAGTAACCAATCAGAATCAAGTACACAACTAAGCTGTGTTAAAATGAAAGACAAGTATCGTCAAATGTTTCTTTACAGATATAAACTGTATAACATTTAAGAAAGTAAATCTCGTGCTTCATAGATTCAAGCTGCTTTATTTAAAACAGACCCAGTAAGCAGATACAAATATGCCAAAAGTGAAAAACAGTTGTGCTGGAACGGCAGCTGATTGTCAGTGTTCAGTGGACATTGGGGGTCATTGATCACTTGACCAGTTTAAGGTATGTTTATTATGTGGTTCAGGGTTCTCTGCTAAACAGCTAGATGTAAATTGCACTGAGTGAGAAACCCCTAAGAAACCATCCACAGCTATATCTGCCTTTGCATTGACCCTTGCTGCATAGGTCGTTTTCAGTCTGCTTGCTGCAGATGTTTCCACAGTACAAACTAGTGTTGGAGTGTAATGGAAAGTCACACATGGAATATATACATATGTTCACATCACTGGTTGTGGCAGGAGAGATGGCATGCAGAAAGTTACAGAGATCACGCTGTGACCCCAACACACTTCAACAACATAGCCATGACTTTTGGTTTTAAAGCACAGCAATATAATGATAATGTAAGAATGATAGTTTCCTTCTGAAACTGTTCAGGTTTGATACAGCTGCAGAAGTGTTTCCCCAAAAAGGATTTGTGAATAACAGTTTCATTACAGGCTACTGTGATTTGTAAATGACCCTCTTTAACATTTGAAGGATTTCTCCACCAACACCTCGGTAAACTTTGATCACAGTACCTGTGTGATAAAGAAGTGTTGATGTAATAAGCACCTCTGTCCCAGGGAGCTGAACTCTATCTGACCTGCTGAACTTGTCAACGCTCTTTCAAATTATGAATAATCACAGTGAGTCACCAACAGCCATGCTAATGACGCCATTAGCATGGCTTATTTGGCCCTCATACGACTCCACAGCAGGGGCCCCGGGGCCAGCAGACGCAGTGCAAACGCACTTTGAGGAATTAACACTCCCATTGACTTTCATTGACTTCTCAAACACTCTATAAGCTCATTGATTCTAAACGACCTTGGTCATCAGAGCAAATAACTGCCCATTGCATTTAAAGTGCATTCTCACTGTGGTGACTTTCATTTGAGAACAAACCCTTAAAAAAAGAAAACGTCAGGAAAAACGTTTAAAAAGTTTAATCAACTTAAAAGCGGAACATCCACTGGGGTGAATGAAGAGAGACAACATTGACCTACCATTTTGATAATTGGTTACATGGGGATATTTTCCCTATGGTTAGATATCTGTAGTAAAATCTATGTAAAAACATAGAGCTAGAGCTTGAGATAACATGTAGCAAAAGTTTCATTAATTAGTCTGCCAGGAAATGAAAGGAAAGTATATTTGTGATATAAAATGTTCTCCCTAAAACACTTTATTACCATACTTTCACAGGGGTATTTTAAATCTTTAAACATAGACCAAACCTTGGCAAGCAGACCAGATTTTGTTCTCTCCTTTCATTTCTGTGGTTTCTCTGTTCCTCCAGCCTCCGCCCCTCACCTCTCTCCTGCACTGTTCATGGCAACTAAGTGGTTTGGTGTATAAAAGTGTTGCCTTTAATAACACTACTTATGTAGCTATAACAATGATTTACTCTCGGCCATGTTCAGGCCTGACGGTCTAATTGAAAGCAAGTTAGTTTCAAAGTCTTTCAACACTGTGTTGTAAATTCACTACAATGGTCACAAATTTAGAGGAAAATGGCCTTGGCCGTGCAAAGGTTTTTTCTCCACTGGGTGATGGTGAACAATGGAGGGAAGCAGACGCTCTTTAGAATGAGCAGAGGAGGCAAAGTTCAGAGAAGTTCATTCACATCGTTCGAGGGCTGGACTCGCGGGGATAGGATGGCCGGACATAAAGGTGTCAGCTGCAATTTACTATTACAATTTGGCCATTAAGCTGAAACTCTTATCAACGGTGACTTACAATACGTACAACGGTTCAGTATTTGTGGATCCAATAATCACAAGTAGCACAGTAATAAACAAGGGCCAGGGACAACAGTACAATGTAAAGAAGTGGCCGTGCAGAGGAGGGAGGCGGGATGTAAATCAGAAAGAGAAACAACATGAGAAGGAGGCCAAGAAGCACATCTGCCAGTGAAGCTGCCATTAGGCTGCACAAACACTCTCATTTAGCCAGCACATAAAAACGTTATGTGACAAATACATGCAGTCAAAAAGATCATGTTGCTGATACTGAAACAAATCCGCTATAATCCATTTGTTTAAACTTGCAGGTTACTTAGAGAAACTGTTGGTTGTTGCGATAAATGAAAACAGCATTCTCCTTTAGGATTTGAGGGAAACTATTTTCCTCACAGATTGCCGATCTCTGTTGCTAAAGATGTGGTGAATGTGGTGAATCGAAGCTAAATTACATGGTTAGGTTTATTTAAAAACGATCATAACCTGGAAGAAAACATGTTTCCCTCAAATGTAATGACAGTACAGTTTTGTTGGTACGGGCTGGTTTAATAGTCTTACCTTATATGTTTTCCTGCATTGTTAAAGGAGTCATTGTATTGGTTGCTTCACGATGTTTTCCCACTTACTGTTAAACAGTTAAATATTCCTATTGATTATGGTCAGACGACGAGTGATATTGTGTCAGGATTGATCCCATAGCTGTGCAAGAGACATCTTAGTGATAATCAAAAGTATGTAATGAAAAAGAATCCTCATAAAATCTCTCAAAATTGCATTTTTAAGATCGGTTTCGATCAATAAGTTCTGCAGCTAATAATGTAATACTTTTAAGTGTTCATATGGCAAAGTCTCCCTCTTTATTGTCAAATATAATACCATTTGTTCTAGCTCCACTGGTCTTTTCAGAGTCAGAATTTTAGCTCACATACCTCAAATTTATTTTTGTGCTTCATCATCAATAATTATCAGTGAGTTTATTGTGAAGATCCAACTCTTGTACTATTTTGGAATAATAATAACTTTGGGTTGCAGTTATTGGTTCTTTGCATTTTTAAAGACAAAATGAATCTTCAACTTGGCTTGTTTTAAGCACCGACAGTCCTATTTAAACACCCAGAACTCACAGCAATCCACTTGTTGCCTTAATGTATGAACCTTATCTCTGACCCCACAGTGAACATGTCCCCATGCTACCGGCCCACCACCACGCTTCCTCTGCCGTTCTTTAGTGGTGCAGTGCCCTGAAAGTGAACTGATCAGATTGAACTCTTGTTCACCCTGTCTGCTCATCTGCCAGGGTCATCAGCCCTCTGCTCGGCCTCCTTCTATGGATTCCAGATTTCTCTCCTATTTTCCTTTTCTCCACAATTTATTGATTCTGTAAGGATGATGGAATGTGTGTGAGTGTGTGTGAGGGCCACCCACCCTCTGTGTCCACAAAGTAAATACATTAACTGTCATCAGCTAATTTTACCTGGGGTTTTCAAATAAACCATCTTTATCTAGTCATGTTCAAAGATAGATACAGTAACTAACGACTTCATTAAAGCTTTTGTTTTAATTAGATTATCTCTACTAATTAGTGTTTGTGCTTGCAGTTTAACATAAGTACCGCAGTATTTCTCTTTAGCTCAGATAGCCTACTTCAGAGTTCAGGCTTTCTACTAAAACCAGTACATAAGGTTTTAAATCATACCAAATGCAATATGTGTTTTCTTCCTAAGAATAATATTAGAAGATTGATATACTGCATCTCATGTCTCTGTGATAAGTATGGATAAGGAGCCACGACTCAGTTAGCCTAGCTTAGCATAAAGACTGGATGGAGAGCTAGCAGATGGAAGCAGCAGAATAAGATATTAGTTTTCCATGTCTTCTTTCTTGTCAAAATCTGGTGTCAAATCACCCACAAAGCAACGTGACAACCGACAGTTCAGAGATCCTGGAGCGCTACGCTAACAGCAGCTAACGTAGCCTTACAAAGCAACCCTGTTTTTTGCAGAATTGTGGTTATATACCATTATACACCTAACCTGATAAGTCAACCACGTTTGGAGGGAAACACATTGTCTTCTCGATTACCGCTGCAGATTTATATTGAAAAAAGCTTATGGTGACTTTTGGTTTCACACCGGAACAGAAGCCTCCTGGGTGAAAGTCCCTTCTTTATTTCAAATGTATTTGTGATACTTGAAAAATGTAGGCCGTTTAACTGGGAATGTGACTATAAAGTTTTGTTGTATGGGAACGTAACTTCTTAAGAGACAGATCAGGTTCAAGCCAGAAGTTTGGTAAGCTCACTTCTTTATAACTTTACAGAACACACCTGTTGATAAGTTAGCTTTAGCAGTGTCCGGCTAGCTCCCTTTTCTGCGTCCAGTCTTTATGCTAAGTAAGGCTAACCTTACTCCAGCTGTCCACTTTGATTAGTGTCAACGTTTTCTGCTCACTCACAAATAAAAGACACGTTGTGTACATTTTGTGTTCTTACATTACACTGTAGCCCTTAGATTAAAAGACAAACACCAAGATTCTCCGCAAAACAATTTTATTAAATAAAAAGCCCATACAAGTCACTTAAATAAATTGAGGTAAGATACAAAAGTTATATAAACAAACTCTACATTATTATGTACAAAATCCTATCGATACACCTCTGAGCTGATTAAAGTGTTCCATGTCTGTGTATAGTGCATCTTGTTTAGTTTGTCAAACAAAACGTATATATATATATATATATATATATATATATATATATATTTATATCAATTTATACAAATCCACTGTAATAACATCATAGTATAAAATATGTTCTGAAGTCATCTACAATATGTACAATTCATGTTATTAAAAAGAGAAATCATCCACACAAGTCCATAAGACCAGAATTACAAACATATTTTGGTTGAAGTGTAAATGTAGCAGTTTCTTTCCAAAAAATCCCAAAGTAGCTTTGATTTAAAAAAAACAAATGATTTGATGCTTTTGGGAAACCCTTATATATTTTTACTCTAAACTGATTTTAGGAAAAACAACCCCCTCGAAATCTTTTTTGATTTTTTATGCATAGCTGGTAAACTTTGTTGGCAGATTGTCCACAGGGTACACAGTAGGTCCTGTTTTCATGGTGGGGGGCCCGTTTAAAAGGGTCCAGTGACACTTGGTGACCACCTCTACGAGGAAGATCTTCAGCAGGACTTTAGCAAACTCTTTGCCCACACACATCCTGGAGCCCCCACCGAACGGGATGTACTGGAATCTGGAGGAGTCGGCGGAAGGTTTGGAGATGAAGCGCTCCGGCTGGAAGTCCTCCTTGTTGGGGAAGCACTCCGCCACATCGTGGGTGTCACAGATGCTGTAGATAACGTTCCAGCCTTTGGGAATTTGGAAACCCTGAAAGGATGAGGGCAGATGATCAGTAAGCAGGCCGATTGATTCATTCGTGTATCTTCAAGCTGCCACTTCTTAACAGATCTAGTAAATAGTTGTAAACTTACATTGAGTTCAAAGGTCTTGAGGGCCACTCTGAAGCCTCCAGGAACAGGAGGGTTGATCCTCAGAGTCTCCTTAATCACACAGCCGGTGTATTTCAACTGCTCCAACGACTCAAGGTCCAGACTGTGGAGGTCTATCCCCTGCTCCTCCTGAACACAGAGACACAAAGGCATGTTAGAAGGATGGTACTAACCAAAGTTTAGTGATACATGTTGAGGAATGGGATAGAGCTGTCTACTAACATACTATATCACAGCCGATATTAACAGGCATTTTCCCTCAAATGGCTCAAAAGATGTTTGAGGACACTTTAGGATATTCCTCTTACTAAATCATGATCTTCCCTAGCAACTAGAGTTTAGATGTAATGGAGACATGGATTTCGTTTGCTGAAGAAGACCATACACTTGCGCTGAAAGTTCATGAAAAGTTAGTATCTGAACTTAAAATCCAAAACCTTTCGGTAAATTACCAGTTTTCAAGATCAATAATTAACTCCTGCTTAATTATTAAATGTGATTAAGTATTGCAATATTTTATAACGTGTCTAAATTGACACTATTTAAAGTGTTGGAAAAACAAGCTTAATATTTTCCGTTGTATTTACCTTCTCCATTAGTTCCTGCCTCAGTTTATCTACAACCTCAGGGTTCAGGCCCAGGAACATGACCAGGGAGGTGGCCGTGCTGGCGGTGGTCTCGTGGCCCCCAAAGAGCAGCTCTGTGGCAGACTCCTTGATGGCCTGGAAATAAATAAGGTAGACGAACAGAATTAGTTCAAGCCCTAACCATTGAAATGGATGGTGAGAAGGACAGGAGACACAGTCAGGTATTTTGACGTGGTAGATGTGATGATCACCTGCATGCTGAGCGGCTCCCCGCTCTTCTTGCTGCTGTCGATCAGCTGCTGAAGGGCGTCTTGGTGTTTGGACTCTTTGTCTGAGTCCTGCATCTTCTTCTTGATGTTCTCCTCTATCTTGGAGTGGATGAAGTTCCTCGCCTTCAGACCCTGGAGGACAGCAAAAAGAAACACAACGTAAGAATATGACATAGACAGACACTTATTTAATATGTTAATATCTTACGACTGTAGGAACAGAACCAGAGTTTTCAAATGTTTAAACCCATTTAACAAAATCAGTTTTCATTACACAGCTGTTTTTCCTCCATACATTCATTAGTTATTCTATATTTACTTGCTTGAGTTTTAGAATTCTGCAAATGTGCTATCATGTGTTGACTGTTAAACATAGTACAAAATATCAATGTAATAGTTATGGTCCAACTTTTCATTAATTACTTACAATGCTTAACTTTACCAATAGTAATGCATGTTTCATTGTTCATTTTCAAATTAAATCTATGTCTTTACAGATTTAAAGTGAGGGTAGGGCAAGGATGTGTCTGTCTCTTACCCGGTACAGTCCGCTGAACGGCACGTCGATGGGCAGAGAGAACAGGTTCTTTATCATTTCCTCGAAAGCTTCCACCAGCTGCTGCTCGTCCGTCTTGATCTGCTCTGGCTCGAAGCCCAGCAGGATCCTCATGGCGATGCGGAACATCAGCCGCTTCATCTCCGGGTAGACCAGCACGCAGGAGTCCTTCTCCGTCCACTCCTTCACGGCCGCCCGCACCTCCTCCTGTATGACGGGGATGTAGAGCTCCAGAGCCTCTCTGGAGAAAGCCCGCATGATGGCCTGGAGAAGAGAGGGTGAGGTGTTAAATTATGAAAGCAAATGTCCAACCATGTGGTATTATTCAGTCACATTTCTGAGCAATGACTGACAAGTCTTGGGCAATATGCTTAAACAGCAGATATGAAGAAAATCTTATTATGTTGTCTAAGTGTAATGCAAACTTCTCCTTATAGACTCATCCGTCAAAAAATGCTTAGAACAAGTAAAAAATCTGCCATTATTCCTTAAGATACAAAAAGAGCAGATCTACTTAAAACAAGCATTTTTTCAACACAAATGAGATTTTTCTTAACTGTATTAATCTTGGTTCGTTTTGTAGGCTTTACTATATATAAACACAGTGGCCAATTTAAAGATAAAAACTTAGTGGACTTCTCCTGGTGGGAGAACTGCAGAAGCAGATGTTTGAACCTTTTCCCAGGAAATACGATTTTTAGTATCCAATTATCACAAGTGCTTAATATCAGACTATTGATCATACAATGTTAACAATCGCAGCAATTATGTGAGCTGCTGTGTTTTTTCTTATATAAATTAAGCAAGATCAAGCATGAGGAAAACAAATATGAAGGATATTTTCTTCTACATTCACTCAGACACTGAAGCTTCACATTTCATTAGAAAATAAGTGAGGATGGTTTTAAATGAATTCCTCACGCACCTTTTTCTTGCTCTTGTGCAGGGCTCCGTGCACGTTGGACAGAGTGTCCGAGCCCAGGATGGTGCGCACAGACGCGGGCCACTGCGCGGACACGAGCTTGTTCTCCCCCAGCAGAATCTGTCTGACGTTGTCCGCTCCGGTCACGCGCACCGTGGGGTTCCCGAAGAGGTGTGTCCGGTAGATGTAGCCGTACTTCTGCCGCTTCATCCGCAGGAACTTCCTCCTCTGCACAGAGACACAATATTATCATATCTGACTACACACTGATACAACAAATACACACACACTGATTCATCTCTGAAGTTATACAAAATAAATTAAAAAAACTAAATAATAAATACAAATGTCAGTTAAATAGATCTTTAAAATGATACTGTGCCTGTTTTACTTAGTTTTACTGTTGATTTGTATTTATTTGCTGTTTGTATTTGTATGCTTTATTATTATATTTCTAACTCATGTGCAATGCCTTGTTAAGTACATCTTTAATCTAATTAATCAACAATACTGGGATGACAAACTAATTTAAAAGCTGAATTAATCCGTTATGGTACCCAATGTTTAACTCTGCCATGAAATAATACGTTTTCCAATAAAACAGACAAAAGTAAATGTAAAAAAGTTGAACACGAGTTTCTACTGTGTATAGAGCATCCTTATCCACGCGTGCATGTGATAGTAGTAGTACCGGGCCATGGTTTACCTGCAGGATGAGCTGCAGCGTCTCTCCGATGAAAGGTAAGCCCATGGAGCCGGGGGGCAGCGGGCTGCAGCAGCTCGGGTCTCGGCCCCGGATCATATACACCTCCCACAGCTTGAGCGCCACCAGGAACAGCAGCACGGGAAGCACGATGGTGCACAGGAAGGTGGCAAGCAGCGTGTTCAGGGCCATGGTGAGTCTGGTGTTGCGTTCAGGTGAAGCTCTGTCAGCTCTGGAGCCGCAGCTGCTCCTCCTGCGCTTTTATAGGCTGCCAGGACTGCAGGCAGCCTGCTACCTTCTCCTCCCTCAGATAAATTAGTTCACTCAAAGTTCATCTTTAATTGTGGGTGTCGCTGGGACCCGCCCCCCCC